TTTGATTTGACAGTCAGGTATTGATTACTTGCAATGTTGATACAACTAATAGGCTACTTAAATATATATCACACTAAATAGTTATGATCTTCTGGACCTTTCTTTAAAAAAATTCTCTCTAACTGGACCTCTTTAAATATTAGTTGAATACCCCTGTTATAGTGATATAGTGATCTAGATCAAGGCTCATGACAACCATGGCAAAAGTTACACTCAGTGCAACGATATGGCCCACATCAACAATCACTACAGTTAACAACTTATTGCACTTCTGAAGAGTGGAGTCTGTTTGAAGAAAGTGTTTATACAGGGGTGTAAATAGCCTGACCTTGGTATACTGCAGCTCTGCCTTGAGTTTTGGCCTGAATGGATTGGTATTTTCTTTAAATCTTTTACCATGGCCTGCAGGTTCCATGGTCTATGGAAAGCACAGAAGCCTGTGGAAGTGATTGATTCTATGGATGTTTGTGGAGTTGAAACATTATTCTTTTTACCCCCCATCAGTGGTTGCTGGGCTTTGATGTTTATTTTGCTTGATGAAGGCTGCAGTGGCATATTGATTAATGCTCTCTGCATGTGTGTCCCTGCACCCACCCCAGCAAATGAAGAGGCAGTGCCAGCAGATTGCTTTTGTGAAAAGGAAAAAAAACACACTCACATGTCAGGGGTTTATTAGCTCTGTTAGTGTGTGTGTGTGTGTGTGAATGACCCCAAGTATCATCAGTCCAGTTTACACTGTGGGCTGACCTCAGCATCCCTCTGTAACCCGTGTGTGTGTGTTTTCTCCCCATGATCCCTTGCTTTGCCACTCCTGCCCCTTTTTTTTTTTGACCCCCTTGGCATGCTAGTCCTATCGAGGTTACGCACAAGCAGGTAGCAGCCCCCACCTCACCTCACATGTTCCCAGTTCTGGCTGGCTTGTTATTACAATGCACATGGGCGTAAATCCCGGGGGGGACGGAGGGGACATGTCCCCCCCCTATCCGAGGGTTGTCCCCCCAAAAAAAATTATAAAAAAAAAATAAATAAAAATCGCACTATTGTGAAAAATATATGTATGTATACCTAAAATAATTCTGTAAGTAGAAAAAAAAACAAACGCAAAAAATGCATTTAGAAATTCCCCCTCCCCTTCCTCACAGTGGATTGGCCAACTGCCTGCTTTCCCAGGTCATCTCACCTTCTCTACACACACGAATCAGGTGTGTGGCTGCAGCTCAATTA